TAAAATGAAAGAGAAAAAGTAGAGAATGTTTTTAGGAGTCACGTTTAGGGACACATAACTTTGTGAGGATGCTGAGTTCTGAAAGAGAGGAGGAGGAGGTAGAAATGACTCAGAAGTTTAAGTCAGAGCAACTGAATTGTGAGTCATGGATGCCATTCATGGAGATAAGGAAAAAAAGAAAGGATAATGAAAGAGATTTTGCATTTAGCTTTAAGCAAACTGAGAAGCAGCTAGAATATGTTGAGTAGGCACTTAGAGAACTCTGAAGATTTAGCAAATAAATATTAAATTTCCTAATAAGTAAGCAAATTATTGCTTTCCTTATGCAAATCCTTATGCAAATCCAGAAAAAGGTAATATTCCTTTCTGTAAAAACGTCTTTTCCATTTTTAAAAGTTTCCTGCTTTATTTTAAGTATTCTTGACAATGAAGAAAGGGCATATACTCAAGGTATATAATACAATGCTTTCACATATATATATATATATATATATATATATATATACAGTGTATACACACTGTATACACAACCTAACCAACACCCGCATCCCCTCAAACATTGATTTCTGTTGAGTTTTTTATACCGAGAAAATTACTAAAGATGAACTCTCAGCATGTTTACAGTACACATGGAAGTTATTCACTATAGTCAATGTCTTCATCTGTTTTGGCTGCTGTAAGAAAATATCATAGTCTGGATACTTTATAAACAACAGAAATTTATTTGTCCATTTCAGAGCCTGAGTAGTCCAAAATCAATATGCTGATAGATTGGTAGCCTTTGTATCTGGTGAAAGATTTCTGGTTCATAAACAGTGCCTTGCTATTTGCATGCCAGAAAGGGCAAGACAAATTTTAAGGCCCCATCTTAGAGGATGTTCACCTCAGGAACCTCTTTATAAGGTTAAGAAATCACCTCCCAAAAACCTCCATCTCCTATTACCATTGAATAGGTGAGGAGGTTTTCAACATCTGGATTTAGAGGGACTAAAACATTGAGACCATAACAATTACGGTGCTCTCTGTCTATACAGCTGATCTCCACAACTCATCCTTTCATGTAACAGAATCTTTATATCCTCTGACCATGATCTCTCACTCAATGGGTACACATATGGATAAATGTGGTTGGGATTAATCTACGTGAAATAAGTCAGTCTCAGAAAAACTAACTGCATAATCTCATATGTGGATTAGAAAAAGTAGATTTTGCTTTTAATGATATTACTATTTCCTGAAAACAGCATTTAACTTTTTTGCCAATTATTTAATACAATGCATGATCTGTTTAGCATCATTTTTAATAAGGAAACAAAAATGATAGTGTCTGTTTGCTATGTTAAAAATAAATAATCATAATGTGGCTACAGCATTTTAACATGCATTAATCTTTGGATGTTTTGTTTTTTATGTATTAAATGCATTAGTTTTGTCAAAGAAAAGATTTTTTTCCCTAAAAAATGAAAGGTAGCAAACGTTGTCTAATATTTTCTAGGGGTCACTATATCAATGTAGAAGAAACTGATCTCCTGGATTTTTCAAAAACCATATTATTGATCCCTATCATATATATTTCAGTAGAAAAAAAATCACCCAGCAGTACACTCAGCTTTAATTTAGTTGGTCCTATCAGCACTCCCTCAAAACACAGGGGAAAGTTTTTCTTCCTCTTACCTAAATGAATTCCCTCCACTTCTAGTGTATATCCCCGATTCTTCTTATATCTGAGACAGTTCTTTCTTAATTAATATTTCCCTCTGTGGGTTTCTTGGTTCTCCTCTTCCTAGAATTCTCCTTTCTATTACAATCATGAAAATAACAAAAAATGTCTCACTGATTCTAAGTACTGAGTGTCATGTTTTGCCTCCCTTTCACAACAAGCTTGTGGGGAAAGTCCCTGTGCTTTGTCTTCTTCACCCATTTTGGATAAATTCCCCTCTGAATTCCTGGAAGCTGGTTTCTGCTTCCCGCATGCAAGTGAAAATGTTCTCCAAAGGTCACAGAATGACAGTTGTATTTATCAAATGTAATGCCTTTTTCTCTGTCACCGTGACTCTTCGGCTTTCTGAGACACTGGCACCAACTGCTGACGTTTCCACTTCCACGCCGGGATGCTGGGGCCCTGTGCGGCCTCGTCCTGCTAAGACACTGTCTTTCTCACCATCAGTTCTGTGACTTACCCAGAAGGTGCCCTTGGTTCCCATCTCCTCTCTCCACATCCACTTTTCTCAAAGAGCTCTTTCTCTCCTTTGTCTTCTACTCTACCCTTCCATACTCTTGGTTACAGGCTGAAGAGTCAAAGCCTCCATTCCTGCCCCAAGCGCCTGTAGACCGTCTCTGTGTGGATGGCCAGCCAGCATTTGCTTCACACGCATGAGACCCACGCTTGGTCACCTGCTCCAGACCCTCCTGCTTAAGACCTGGAGGTTACACAGTACACATCGCTAATGTCATTGGCATCTACGCTCTTCCTGGGGCTCAGACTGGCAAATATAAAAACTGTTACAGCACAGTGCAGAGGGAATGACTGTTTTAAAAGCCTGTGTATTCAGATGCCTGAAGCTATATATGACAAAATGTCACTAGTATTTTTCAATAGATTTCAAGTTTAAGTGATTTTTAAAAACTAACAGTCATCCTGCTGAACATTCATCATGACTAGACATAATTTTGAAGGTAAATGAGTTAATTTAACGTAAATACCCCAAGTCACTGCCTCCTCTCTATAGCACCTTTATATTGCTCCCATGCTGATTTCACAGCACTTAGGTTATTAGGAAAGGATTTTGATTCAAATCCCTGGTTCCAATTTCCTTCTGTGGGATTTTACTCTGCACGCCACTGTAAGACTGACAAAGCCCTTTCTTCCCGTTCATCTCTCAAGGATCCTAACTTCACATTGGCCTCCTAAGCCTCCGTTCCTAGATTACAAGAACTGTTCTCAGGCTGCTGCTCCTCCCTCCTGCATATTTGCCATACTGTGCTCCTCTTCTGGCCCCCGGGGTCTCCTCACCAACCCCCACTGGCCCCCGGGGTCTCCTCACCAGCCCCCACTAAGGCTGTGCTCTCCTGCCTAACAGATCCGCCATGCAGCTAAGCGGAACCTGGGGCAGGCGTCATAGTGTTTCATAAAATAACTGTGCTAGGTGAGTGCGAAGACCTTCTCACAGCAGACAAGGAAACTGAAGAGCAGAAACAGGAGTTCCTCATCCCCCAGCGAGTGAGTGGTAAAGAGTCAAATCCGTGTCTCTCTGGTTAACGCCAACACTGTTTGACCAGATAATAATCATCTCCCGGGCTCACTTCCTCTTGTCTACTCCTAACATTAGGTTCAAACTCATCAGCACGAGGCATTTGCTCTTTGCAGAAAAGATGAGGACAGCTGCTCCCTCTCCCAGAGCGCACTGCACTAACGCGATTACCTCCCAGCCCTCTTTAAGCAATTCATGTCCGTGTCCTTTAGAACAGAAAGAGTATCTGATCACTTGCTGGCAAACTCTCTACTGTCAAGCACAATTCTGGCAGTGACTTCAGCATAATAGGTGTTTTCAATAAAAGGTTGATTAAGTTTTATAAAAATGACATTAATACCAATTTTCTTTCCATGTAGGAAGTCAAAAGTAAATCACATAAAACACACACAAATATTTAAAATAAACTAATAATAATGAATTTATAACCCATGTGTTACTTTTCCATCTTTATATCAACAGCAGAATGAAGAATAAAATGTAGTGCTACGCTTACAGAAAGGGACAGTATAAGGTACCTTTTATCTGATCAGAGAGCTTTCACTGAAACCCATAGAAAATGTGAACATCACAGCAATTTGCATATATAGTTTTTCTTTTTCTGCAGATATGTGTAAATTTCAGTGATATTTTTTGATATAAACAATGTATCAGTTTAATTCAATTATGCATTTTTCCAAACTCTTTAAAATTGCTAATTTTTCCATTGGTCTGCCAGATATTGCATACTTTCAAGTTATATAAAGTCACTTCAAATGGTTGTTTTCTTTCACTTCAAAGATGACTTAATCCTTTTTCATATGTTGGCAGTATTTTTAAGAAAATTAATATTAATAATTCAGGTTAACATTAAACATAGACACAGGAAGGTGAATTACTTATAATATATACTTAATTATAGATTAAAATTTATACAAATGAAAATATGAAAGTCTTACAACCAAAACTATGAATATTTTTATTTTCTTTTCCTGTGCTCTTTTGCACAGATAAAGATATAAAACTTACTTATAAAAATATAAAACAATAACGTTATCTCTAGAGAGAGTGTAATTAACTAAAATCTACATCTGGATTTACAATCTCCTTTTGCTACACTTTTCCTGTTCTAAGATGCTGCTTCTCCAACTTCCATCAGCCCTGCATGCTCAGCTAATCCCCTGACTTCCTCTCTTGCAAAATCTGTTTTTAGGAAGCCTATTTTAAAGCTATCCACATTTCCAGTTTATGGCCAATAAGAGAATAAATTATCTCTCCAAAGGACATCTGCATATGTCACTAGTGAGAAATAAAAGGGTTGGATTTAGTAAGACTAAGTTTTCTGAAAGTACAGTTTTTGAGATTAAAAACAAGGTTAAAAGTAATTGAATGCTGGACTGTAAGGCTCAACTGGTCATATATTTTAGACACTTGTCATGCTCTAGCTGAAGACTTTCAAAGCAAATTGCCTTAGTAGCATTTTAAAGCAGTATTTTGTTATCCAGTAGATAAACAAAGAGTAGCAACTGCTAATGTTCCAATAGGTTGGTGAATTTATCCCAAATATGCTACCAGAGAGCATGAAATCTATGTTAATTTTAGCATACATTTCATTTCACTGCTTATAGCCTTAAAATATATGGGGAGAGTACCTTAATAGTTTTCAATATTTTGGGTACCTTAAGACTTTGCCCTGCCCTGATTGTACGGCAAGCCTTGTTCAGACAACAGAACGCCAATTCAAATGTAAGTGTCGCCAACCGTCCTCACCTGCTTTGGAGAGCTTTTCATCTTTTTTAGTTTCAGGTACTAGTAAAGAACATACACGTACACACATACAACAAAAGGAAGAAAAAGATCATTTAAAAATAATCAGTACTAAGTTGATTAATAGGAAGTTTTTATTAATTTTTCTTGTATGTTCTTGATTTCAATTATATGAACACATGCCTATCAATAATGGAACATGCTTTTTTGATAAATTATAAAGTAACGTTACAAAATTACTTTGATTTTTTTAAAGTCCAATTTGCTACAATGTTTTATACTAATCAAGTAATTTGATATCTTTTTTTTTTTTTTTTGGTTTTTCTCCGGTACCGGGAACTGAACTCACGACCTTGTGCTTGCCAGGCAGGCGCTTTTTGCCGCTGAGCTAAATCCCCAGCCCCAGCTAAATCCCCAGCCCCTGATATCTTGTCTTTAATAATAACCAATCTCTTATGAGTTATAAGAGTGTGCTAATTAACTCTAAGCATTGGAAATAAAAAATTAATAAAAATTTGAGAAAAAATACCATAAGATTTCCTTAATCAATTTATACATTTTCTATTTTTGACAATCTGTTCAATTCACAGAGCTCCATCTGGTGGTTAACTGAATAATTTCAAAATGATACAATTATTGCTTTATTAGTGCTTCTATTATTACTAAAATTTAGAAAATAAATTGTCCTGATATAAAACACATTGGAATAAAATATCTTATTTTCCTATTGTAATAGAATAATGAATGTTGTCTAGAAATTCTACATTCTAATTTAACATCATATTGATTTTACAAATACATACTTTTTATACTATGGAATTAATATGTGCATTACCATCCTAGCATAAATTACAATTATTCTGTATTCCAGGTTCCCAATCACATTGGTTCTTTGTTTTAAAGGCAAAAATAACAACAAAGACAAGAACAAACAACACAAAAACAACAAAAATGATACAGAATTTCACAACAAGATGATAGAAAATTAACAATGGTTGGCATATTACATATTGTTATCTTCAATGGAGTTGCTCAGATTACCAGATGTAAGAATGGAAGATGAAGCTCTGTATCATTTCTGATTTTTTTTAATCATTTTTTAATTCTCTTTGTTTGTCCAATCACATTGGTTTTAACGAACTTCGTCTCTGTGTTTTAGTTCACCCTTCTCAGTGAAGTAGTCTTGCAGGACACAGGATTCTGATACCTTATTGTTCCTCCACTTGCAAATAGCAGGAAATGAACTCACAATTGTAACACTGGGGAGCACAGACTATATGTCAAGCACAGTCACCAGTTTTAGTCAAGTATTATTACCCTAATAGTTTTCACTTTCTGCAGTATCAAATATAAAAAGAAACATCTTAACTGCAAAATTTTATACAGTTGAGACTTGCATAGTCATTCACAGCCTACTTCCTTTAATGCCAGAATGCATACTTTGTAAAAAGAGGTATCAGGGTAGTATGGTAGTTTGATCCTTTTGGCATGTATTCTTCCCTAGGTGACAGGTTCACTTAATTGCATCAGACAAACCTGACGTCAGGTTTTACGTGCCTTAACACTATATTGTAATAGCAAATTTATAAAGATGCTGTAGTGGAAATTTAAAATCAGCCAGTAGCCTGTGACTATGCTGAGACAGGATATGCTCCTGCTGCTTGCCACATTGTTAGACTACTAAGTTCAGTTAGCCTTGACTGTCTGCATCCTGCTGCTTCTTCCAAATAGCTGGCCAGGTCAACCTGACCACATCCAGCTGTAGTATCTGTGTTTTTCTACTTAAAATATGTATGTAACTAGTTCTATTTCAGCTTGCTTGGAGGACTTTATTCTTTATGCCCAGAACAGACTGGCCCAGTTGAGGATGCACTGAACTCTACCCACTCTGCTCAAACCCCGTTCCTCCCAGAATGTTCCTGTCTAATGATAAACAATTCCTTCTAAGTAAACCTGCTTAAAACAAATCTGTCTGACAGCATAAGACTTGATTCTTGCGATCCATGTAACCAATCATGTAATAATGAGCTATCAGCTTTGTACCTCCTGCTTGCAAACTGTATTTAAACTGAACTCAAAACTGACTCTAGGCTGATGATTTGGAACTGGATCCCATCATCCCACTGGCATTACATTAAAGTTGCCTTCCAGACTCCTTGGTGTGGAGCATTTTCCTTTTGGTCCTGAATTTTTCCCACAACAATATAGAATAAAATTTTTATATACTTTTTGTTCATTGTCTGTGTTCCCTATTTAGATTTTAAACCAAGTAGTAGATCTGCTTTACTACTCAAAAACCAATGTCTAGTCAATATCTACAACCTGGTATAAAAATCAATAAATATTACTGAGTGAATAAGTGAAGAAATGATAACCATGGAAAGATCAAAGGGTCCATTTTGTGTATCTGTAGTCCTGGAACAAATTGATTTATCTCATGCTTCTAGAACTAGAGATAATTATTCACAGTTACATAGCTTTTACATTTAGATTTGATTTTAGAAACTTTTCTTCAATTAAGTGTTTTATTTTTTTCTGTCCAAGTATAGCAAAGATCACTTCCATTAATTCAGGGACTTTTTTCAATTATTTGGTTTCCTGCTGCTACATTATTTTTCTCAGCCAATTTAGGATAAAGCTAAGTCATGTAAGTCCTCCATCTGCAGTAAAAAAGTATTTCTTTGATGGTGAATGTTGATGAGGTTTTTGTTTCATTGAAAAGGAAGTAATTCTTCCTAATTATTCCTTCTTTATCAAATAATGCTAATGCCAATAGTGTACTTTGAATTTTCCAGTAAACTCTCCAAATTGTAGTAATGAGAATTAATATTTCCAAAGTATTTATTACAGCCCAAGTACTGGTCCACTGTGCATTTTCCTGATTTCATTATTCTGTGAGGTACTAGTTCTGTCCCCATTTGCTGAAGTGGCTGTGGGACTTGCTGACACTGGGTTATTTGAAAAAAAATCCATCCAGGTGCATAGGGCAGCCCACAGATCTGTTTTCCCAGCCTATTGCCCTCAGCAGGGGGCATATGCCCAGGACCAAAAAGAACAAGCATGGGTGTCTTCTTAGCTTCTGTTTCTGAGATGTATCTGGTTTAAATATTAGAAACAAATTCCTGCCTGGTTAAGTCCATCCTTCCTTCTTTCAAGGATGGGTTTCACTGATGCTTTGCCCATTAAAATTAGACATCCAGGCTGGGCTCAGATTTTTGATCCTCCTGGCTCACTTCCAGAGTCCTGAGATTACGGATTTACACCACCCAGCCCAGCTTGAGTTGTCTCTTTGGAAGAGTCTTGTGCCTTACTTTCTGCCCTACACATGGCTCTGATCCTTGTCACTGTCACTGAAATCTGGAAATGGAATGTTCTTAGCTTTACTGTTTGCCAAGAGATGTTTTGGAAAATAAAGTGGAGAATGTGCTATGAGCATGAGCACAATACACCTTGTTCATGAAATCATAAGCACTCTTATGAATGCCCACATCAAACTCATGTGTGTTGACATCATTCTCATGTGTCACAACACTGGATGCTGACTATTGTGTACACAACACTATCCATATAATGTCAAGGTAAGTTATAAGTTTCTTTGTTGGGTGAAAGTGAGCTTTTGTGTTGTGTAATTTTACATTAGCATCAAGCTCTCTTACTCAGTTTTGTGACCTTGAGCACTGTAAAAAAAAATTTACGTGTCCATTCTGTCATCATTAAAATGGAGGAAGTAATGTTGTAAAGTTAATGGGAGAACTGTAAGTGAAAAGACCATAGCTATTTTAAAAATTATGCTCATAACTTTAAACCGCATGATCTTTCAAGGTAATTTTCTTCTTTTATTACAAAATTGGGATTTTTGTCCTTGAATGTGCCTGTGAGAAGTTGTCTACAGACTTTGCAAGGTGAGCAGCTCTTTCATGAGGCTAGCTGGTCATTAAGAGCTCAGTTGCTTTCTTGTGTGGCTGGCATTTCTGTTGATGCCTAAACCTTTCATTTCAGGTCATAGAAGAAGCAGTTCTGACCTAGGGCTTGCTTCAAGTCATGGGTAAGAAAACTAACAATATATTCTTTTAAAAAAAACTTACTTAAAGTCTACACTGAGAAGCTCCAGGAAACTAAGACCCAGTGATTAACACTAACTGGGCTGTAGGAGCAGGAAGAGCAAAGGGAACTTTCGCTTTTCACTCTGTCCTGACTGGTCAGCTTTTCGACCGCTGATCCCTGTTGCATAATAATGCAGTATCTAGTTTGTGTAGACTTTCCCACAGAAACTTTCACCCTGGGGCTCCACGTGCAGCCTTCTGTGCGTCCAGTTCAGAAACGTGGCACTGAAAGTTCCCAGGCTGAGGCTCCGAGGCGGAGGACCTGCTGCTGCCCAGGCAGCACTGACTGGCAGGCTGTGGATTTCATCTGTGGACTGGACGGGGAGCTGCAGGGACTGGGTGGGCAGCCTCACTAACCCCTTGCCCAGGGTCAGCAGCACTGTGTTCTCAAGTGGAGGGGGAGACTAAAACCTTAGCACCCAAGTCTTTCTTCATGAAGCAAAAAGCAAAAGATGTATTCAACACGGAAATCCCAAGAACCTGCAATCCTTTCAGAAGGCCTCTATTTTAAGAGCCTTGCTGGTGGAGGTTGAATAGCTGTCACTGTGCTTGCTGCTTTCTTTTGCGTGTGTGGCTGTACCACTCCAGCTTCTTCAGCACATGAAAGACTTCCATGCGTAATAAAACACAGTCATAATTATTAATTTTGCCTCCAGTGATATTCTGCATTTACCACATGGTAGTCCCTGAGTTTAGAGTATTAAGTACATTGTGTATACAGCATTTATAGAGGATTAAATATTCCCTGGCTTATTAGAGCTCCAGTTCTAATATCATAAACTTCAAAAGCCTTGTGAGGAGTTACTTTCTCTGCTCCATGAGAGCACTTACAATACGTGTCTGCTAAGGAGCAAGGAAATTTATGTAATTCTCATGTACCACTGCTTTGAGATCAATAATATCACTGAACCCATTTTACAGAAGATAATATTGAAGCAT